AGACGAAAAATAAGAATATTATAAATTTTTGGAAAATGGGCGTAGCCACGCCCACTTATGGTTACATGTGTATATCTCGGTAACCGCTGAACCAATTTCTTCCAAGTAAGTAAGTAATACAATGCTTAAAATATTTAAACAAAAGTTGAGGTACATACCAACGGACTTTTATTAAAATCTGTGTGCTATCCAAATTAGATTATTGTGTCCTCTTTATGCGCCTATAAGAAATATTTTCTGTTGGTTTTTTTTTTCTGTGATAAATTTTTTCGAAAACACAAAATTTCTTTTGAACGAGGTGCGTATTGCTCTCCTATCAATCAAAAAGAAGACTCTTGGATTTCTCGCTTAGCAGACATCACTTTTTAATCCTAAACGAGTAATAACGGAGTACAAAACCGACAAATCTCGCTTATTGCTCCCAAATCATGCATCAGGGAGCATTCTTTAATTGCTCGCTTAGGATATCTCTCATTACTCTCCTAAGCGAGCAATACAGGAGGACAAAACCGACAAATCTCGTTTATTGATCCCAAATCATGCCTCGGGGAGTATTATTTCGTCGCTCGCTTAGGAGATCTCCTATTTGATTCCTAAAAGAGTAATAAAGGAGTACAAAAACGACAAATCTCCCTTACTGCTCAGAAATCAGGTTAAGAGGAGTACTCTTTTATTCCTCACATAGGGAGATCTCCCTTCAGGTTCTAGTGGGTATGTACATACACGCATACATACTACATGTCATCGCTAAACTTTGCAGCAAAAGCTGAGATAATTCGCTGAATTTCCAACTAAACACTCTAAACCAAAAAAACGGTTATAAAAAAGCGCTTTCACATTGATAATTCAACATGGTAGGGATAATATTCGTCACTAGACACCAGTGTTGCCATTTGAGCCGTTTTCCGGCTAGATTTAGCCGGTTGCGATAGCAAACAGCCGGAGAAATTTCAATCTAGCCGGCAGCCGATTTGTTAGCCGTTTTGCAGAAAAAAACTAGCCGTTTTAGCCGATTTTGCTATTTGCCTTGTTTTCTTAAATTTCAAATATGTATATATGTTTCCATTTTTGACTAAGCGACCCAAAATCTGTTAGAAATGGCTACAAGCCTTATCGTGGAGAAAATTTTCATGTCAGGCAGGATTATATGAAATTGGGCCGATTTCGCTTATTTTTATTTTAAACGAAGAAGGGATTTTCTTCATAAAATGTTTGTTACAAATGTCTTAATTTTAAGTGTGAAGTTTTATTCGCAAACTTAGAAAATAACAAATTGTTTCACTGTTAAGACTCTTAAGATGCGTTTGTGTTTGGATATAGTGCCAACAAACAGAATAAATATTACATGTAGATATTGTCTTCCCAGAAAGCGCATATTCAATTCTGAATAAAATAAAAAACATAACTTCTGCCCACTCCCAAAGGTTTAAGGTAATGGAAAAATTGATATTTTCAAGCACTATGTACACATATGTATTTTTTTAAACAAACGTTTTTGCTGAGAACTTATTCAAATTCCAAAAACCGAATGCCAACTTAAATTAAAGGAACCAACACTGAAGTGAGTCAAAATGAAAATAAAAGAGCACAAATTTTTATGTAAAGCAACACTCGCTGGGAATCCTACGAGACATCTGACGGTCATATGGCCGGTCATCTAAATGGGAGATCTGCAGTCTTTTGGCATCGTATTTTACATTAGAATTGAAGGGATTTCTGAAAAATCTGACCAGTTCTTTTGTGTAACTGTGATTTTGCATCCCTTGTCAACATATGGCCTCGGTTGATGTTAACTTAAGGTCGTTGTTTTACTGCCTTAAAATTGAAGGGAAATTTTTACAGCGTGTTTTATGTGTATTGGTTTCTATTTGAGTGTATTGAGAATCGGTCAGTCTGAAAAGGCCTTGTAGGGAAGACAATAGGTTTGTTCGTCGAAAATCCAGCGAGAATTATCACTCAAAATATCAGATAGTAAATAATAATAATAAATAGTTTTTTTTCCCCGAGTACCTTTCAAATCATTTGAATTAACTAAATTAATTAAGTGAACAAGTATTAACTTCATTTTTCATTTTAAAATCGCTCCAGTTTGTAAATTTTTAAATTTAACGAAATTGTTTATTCAAATTATCGTCGACAAAAAATCCAACCATGTGCCATCTTTCCTAATTGCAAATTCTTGCTGGCAAAATTTTTTCCGGCTCGAATTTGTAACTTCTCTCCAAGAAAAAGTCTTTTTACTCGTGATTTATTTAAATAAAACATGTGAAACTTAGTTGAAACATTTTAGCCGTTTTTAGCCGGTTTTATTTGCCAATTTAGCCGGTTCATCGAAAAAGTTCTGGCAACACTGCTAGACCCGAATAAAGGCGCGAGCTCAAAAGTTGACCGCGAAAACAGGCGCATAAAAAAAACTTCAGCGAAGAAAGGCTCTTAACATAGTTGACGGCGAAGAAAGACGCGTTAAAATATTTGACGGNAGACCCGAATAAAGGCGCGAGCTCAAAAGTTGACCGCGAAAACAGGCGCATAAAAAAAACTTCAGCGAAGAAAGGCTCTTAACATAGTTGACGGCGAAGAAAGACGCGTTAAAATATTTGACGGCGAAGAAGGAGGCGTAAACTTATTTTCGCGGTCAACTATGTTTGCGGTTGTAATAGTATGTACCAAGGCGAATTTATAGATGGTGGTGTTGATGGCGAATTTAGATTTTCGCCGCGGTACTTATAAATGTCAAAATGATGTGTTTGTTGTAAACAAGGCGAATTCATTTTACAACACATCATTTTGACATAAGTACCGCGGCGAAAATCTAAATTCGCCATCAACACCACCTTGTATAAATTCGCCTTGGTAGGTACATTCCGTAGAGTTTTTGGCGAATAATGCTGAAGCGACAGTCCTTGGTGTGACTACGCGTCTTTCTTCGCCGTCAACTAGGTTACGCGTCTCTCTTCGCCGAAGTTTTTATTAAGCGCCTTTTTTCGTAAAATTTTTTTATGCGTCTTTTTTCGCCGTCGAAACACTAGCGCGCCTTTATTCGTCTCTAGTGACGATATGTACGTACCTACACACATATGTATGTATGTACGTAGGTGAGTGGTTTTTTATTATTTATCTTTTCGGTTAAGGTCCTCCATTGCCAGTCTCTCCTCCATTTCCAGCTCTCTAATTTTTAGCCTTTCATTACTCTTCATCTCCTTTTCTCTTGATTCCATTTCTTTTTCCTTCAATGCTAATTCATTTTTTTCTTTTAACTTAACTCTTCTTCTCTCAACCTAAAGTCTTGGTCAGCTTTCTGCTTCCTCACAGTTAACATGTCTGCTTGCATTTCAATTACCTATATCTGTAAGTGCAGTTCGAGAATAAATCCCTTTACAGCTTGTGGAAGCTGTGTTTTCGGTTTCAATAGTTACATTTGTTGGCGACATTGTGGTTTCTTCGAACAGGAGCTCTGTTGAATTGAAAATATCTTCACATACGGAGTCCAAACTGTCTTCAATGACAGCCGCTTCAACGAGCCTGTTGCCAAAAATGTCGTCAAGCTCGTAAAAATGTGTACTTTTTAAGTAAAATGGCTGAAATACAAACTCGTTAAATCAAAGCTGCTGGAATGGCCCATATTTCTATTTCCTACTTCGAAAAGTGTCGCCATCCATGCTGCCGGCGCCGGTTGATCCTTCCCAACCTTCGGCTTTATTGTAGCTGTCGCGCATGTTTCGTACTTTCGCTCGTGCCAGCTTCCACTCAACCTCCAATTTCATTTCCAACGAAAACCGCCTGTAGTAGTTTTGATCAGTTGGCTTCTGTAATTAATACCTTCTGTGTGATCAAAATTGCACTTATTTAATAAAAAACAAACCTCGAAATCTCCATTCGCCATCAAAAACTCAATGAGCGCCTTTTCGTCTACTATGGTCCATTTCTTGGTGGGATTGATGCGCACACGCTTCGCTTTTAGCTGAATCAAAAACATTTATTTAATCTGGGTCCATTAATATAGATAATGCATTAGATCTTACCTGAATATTTGGCAAAGGATCCGGTTTTATAAGCAGCTAGATTTGCCAGACGGTATAAGCACAAAACAAAACAGAATTTTCACGAGAAGCAAATGTAAACAAACAACAGCTGTTTGCTTACTACACCACATAAACATAGCAAGCAAGGTTGTACTGTTTTAGTACTCTTTCAGTGTGGAAGGCACCAAAAATTTTTTTAAACCATTGTAAAAGTTTAGTAAATTATGACAATATTGTAATATTGTATCGGTATGCTATACCAAATTCCACGTCTATCTAAGAATTAGTTTTAGCTACTACCACTTGTAAGCCTCCTTGGCACTCAAACATTGCATCGTAACACGAAATCCCGGCCCGAGTTGGAGAGCCCGGTCGGCATGAAGAGTGACCTCGAGACTTTTGACTGCATCTAGTTTTCTTTCCTTTTTTGCAAGACGACGAGAAAGACACGAGTGACAGTGAAGCACTTTTGGAGAATTTAAAAAAATTAAAAATAAATATACCAATTACGCATCAAAGTTGTCGAAAACCTTTTGCCTATAAGCGTCAGAAGTGGCATTAAAGCAACCCTTCTACAAAATTAAGGATGTCTTATGCATTTTCGTACATATATCCGTATGTAAATGCAATTCAATTATACACGTGCGTACAATTCGAGAAACTTCGGCAAATATATTGCTTCCAACATCGGCAATCGAAGCAACGAAGCACTTAAGCGAAACATCTCGAAATATTACCATCACCGAAATGAAAAGAAACGAAATTGAAGAGTGGCTCAATTGCAACAATACTAAATTCTACGTTGAGACAACTGCGTAAATTGGCAATAGAAAATGGTGCTACTTGTAAAATATCTTGCGACTAGGGTTCGAACGCTACTGAGTAAGTATCGATACTGAGGGTATAAAAATGAGTACTTTAATACTCGATACCTTATTTGGTGTTTTTACTCGATACTTTGCAAGGTACTCGTAGTATTGAATACTTTTTAAAACGCACACTTTTTAAATTTTTTCTTCCATTGCTTTCTTTGCTTATATGGATTACTATCATTCAATTTTGTCTATCACTTAAAATAAACTGTAATTGCGTGTATTCTGTTGCATAACATAAACCAAATAAGTGAAGGTTTAGTGGCCTTATTCATAAAAAATAAAGTAGGCTTAATAAAATGACATTTTCATAAATTTTTCAGTTTATAAACCTTTTTTATTTTTTATGAATAAGGCCATAAAACTTTACGCAAAGTTCACGAAAATGCAGATTTTTTAGAAACTTTTTGGGAATGCAGTTTTGTAACCTATTCAAATTTACGTGTAGCCTACTACCGTTGACTTTTAATTCAAACTTGCACATTATCATACTAAAATTGAATAGGCTACAAAAATGCATACTAAAACTTTACACAAATTTCTTAATAAAACTTGAAATTCGTGAAAGTATATATATATATATATATATATATGTATGTACATTTGACGTTAAAATTACTTCTAACGTGAAAGTAAGTTCTGCAATGAAATAAAAATCAAATATTTTAAATTTTTTTGTTTTAATTTCAGGAAATAACTAGATATACGATTGAAGAATAAAATAATTTTAGTATACCAAAAACGTATTTTAATGAGTCCGATACTGAGTAGTATCGATACTTTTTCCCTGATACTTTTAGAGTATCGATACCATGAGCTCGATGCCAGAATGAGTACTCAGTATCGATACCAAAGTCTGAAATTTCGAACCCTACTTGCGACAATTATGAAGAAAGTGATCATAGTGGCATTGGAGACAATATTGTCACATATTCCGAACGCACAACGGCAGACCATTAACGCAAAATGGAGGAAAAGGCAACGCCACCATCGTCGAACGAGGCTGCTCGTGCTAATCGCTTGTTATGGGTTACTCTAGTGCACCCGGTAGCATGTCAGAAATTTCACCATCTCATATTTTTCTAGAGCGTACGGCAACGCTAAAACCGCATGGAAGGTCTGCCATTTTGACGATAGCTGTGTTCCTTGCGGACAGTTGTCACTGATTGTCACTAGTTCCTGCAGGTCTGTTTGCCTACTTTGCATACTGTCATATTATTTCTTGCTTCGAAATCCAATGGTGCTTTTTACTAAGAAGCGATACTTTGTACTAAAACATTCTGGCGGCAACATTTCAATATTCTGATATAGAGCCAGTGGCATTCGGTAACTTTTTCGGCATGTACGAATAAATTGAGTTTTGCTGTACCAAAACCAAAAAAAAAACCACAGGCAATGCAGTTTTGTAACCTATTCAAATTTACGTGTAGCCTACTACCGTTGACTTTTAATTCAAACTTGCACATTATCATACTAAAATTGAATAGGCTACAAAAATGCATACTAAAACTTTACACAAATTTCTTAATAAAACTTGAAATTCGTGAAAGTATATATATATATATATATATATATGTATGTACATTTGACGTTAAAATTACTTCTAACGTGAAAGTAAGTTCTGCAATGAAATAAAAATCAAATATTTTAAATTTTTTTGTTTTAATTTCAGGAAATAACTAGATATACGATTGAAGAATAAAATAATTTTAGTATACCAAAAACGTATTTTAATGAGTCCGATACTGAGTAGTATCGATACTTTTTCCCTGATACTTTTAGAGTATCGATACCATGAGCTCGATGCCAGAATGAGTACTCAGTATCGATACCAAAGTCTGAAATTTCGAACCCTACTTGCGACAATTATGAAGAAAGTGATCATAGTGGCATTGGAGACAATATTGTCACATATTCCGAACGCACAACGGCAGACCATTAACGCAAAATGGAGGAAAAGGCAACGCCACCATCGTCGAACGAGGCTGCTCGTGCTAATCGCTTGTTATGGGTTACTCTAGTGCACCCGGTAGCATGTCAGAAATTTCACCATCTCATATTTTTCTAGAGCGTACGGCAACGCTAAAACCGCATGGAAGGTCTGCCATTTTGACGATAGCTGTGTTCCTTGCGGACAGTTGTCACTGATTGTCACTAGTTCCTGCAGGTCTGTTTGCCTACTTTGCATACTGTCATATTATTTCTTGCTTCGAAATCCAATGGTGCTTTTTACTAAGAAGCGATACTTTGTACTAAAACATTCTGGCGGCAACATTTCAATATTCTGATATAGAGCCAGTGGCATTCGGTAACTTTTTCGGCATGTACGAATAAATTGAGTTTTGCTGTACCAAAACCAAAAAAAAAACCACAGGCAATGCAGTTTTGTAACCTATTCAAATTTACGTGTAGCCTACTACCGTTGACTTTTAATTCAAACTTGCACATTATCATACTAAAATTGAATAGGCTACAAAAATGCATACTAAAACTTTACACAAATTTCTTAATAAAACTTGAAATTCGTGAAAGTATATATATATATATATATATATATGTATGTACATTTGACGTTAAAATTACTTCTAACGTGAAAGTAAGTTCTGCAATGAAATAAAAATCAAATATTTTAAATTTTTTTGTTTTAATTTCAGGAAATAACTAGATATACGATTGAAGAATAAAATAATTTTAGTATACCAAAAACGTATTTTAATGAGTCCGATACTGAGTAGTATCGATACTTTTTCCCTGATACTTTTAGAGTATCGATACCATGAGCTCGATGCCAGAATGAGTACTCAGTATCGATACCAAAGTCTGAAATTTCGAACCCTACTTGCGACAATTATGAAGAAAGTGATCATAGTGGCATTGGAGACAACATTGTCACATATTCCGAACGCACAACGGCAGACCATTAACGCAAAATGGAGGAAAAGGCAATGCCACCATCGTCGAACGAGGCTGCTCGAGCTAATCGCTTGTTATGGGTTACCCTAGTGCACCCGGTAGCATGTCAGAAATTTCACCATCTCATATTTTTCTAGAGCGTACGGCAACGCTAAAACCGCATGGAAGGTCTGCCATTTTGACGATAGCTGTGTTCCTTGCGGACAGTTGTCACTGATTGTCACTAGTTCCTGCAGGTCTGTTTGCCTACTTTGCATACTGTCATATTATTTCTTGCTTCGAAATCCAATGGTGCTTTTTACTAAGAAGCGATACTTTGTACTAAAACATTCTGGCGGCAACATTTCAATATTCTGATATAGAGCCAGTGGCATTCGGTAACTTTTTCGGCATGTACGAATAAATTGAGTTTTGCTGTACCAAAACCAAAAAAAAACCACAGGCTAAGCTCTATTTCGTGTGTTGCTGAAATTGTTAAATTTAAATCTATTTTATAATTTGCAAGTAGCGTACGTTCTTTTGTTTTATCAGATTCCATTTTGATTTTCATTCTTTATTACCGCCCACAATATTCTGCCTTATCCTGAGTTTAGCCCAAAAAAAATTTTCACCCGCCCATAGTAAATACATGGAAACCAAAAGTTGAAGAGTGAACCGGTTCGGAAAAAAATGAAACTTATCATAAGGCTGATTACACTTAGAAGCTGTCAAATTTTACCTAGCAAATGAGCTAGATAAAATTCTGACGTTTGTATTCACCATGAAACTGTCAAATATAATAACTAGCAATTTTCAAAAATTTTTTTTTTGCGGTTAAGTCCGGTAAAACTACTTGCAGAGGAGTCACGGCAACCCCAGATTTTTTTTGATATTCCTCCTTGCACTGTGGCAAATTCCATTTAGAAGAGTAACGGAACTAGTCTAAATGATGCAGTGCCCGTTATTCTTCCAAATGGAATATTCCCGCAGTGCAAGGGTATAAAAATCTGCTGGCAATTCTGCAGTCAACCATTTTGCCTTCTATCATTGGCGACTGGTGAGAAAAGTCAAATTTAATACTGATGCGATTATCCTTGAAACCTCGTGCGGATTTCCCAAATAATCCGGTTCGTATCGCTGGATTGTTAAATAAATGCTCACGATGACCAAATTGTAGTACAATTAACTTTATTGTACAACAAACAATTTACATTACTCGCTAATACAGTAAAAACACTCTACAATACTTGTTAAAGAATAACAACGCTTAACTAAACTTGCTAACACAATTAAACTTATAGCTTGCTTATTTGGAACTCACTTCTCTTCTCACTTTACTTGTAGCTTGCTGTCTCGTAACTCGTAACTAACTCAACTCCGCTGTGTCGTGGCTCTTATATACCTGCGCTCGCACTTATGGCAACTCTAGAACGTTCTGAAGTTTATCGCTCATTCTCTTTCTCCAGCTGTTCGCAGTGTTCATCCAACTTGACGTTTCTCTTTGTGGAACATTCTACGTCATTCCTCGAACATTCTGCTTATTTCTCGTAGTTCGCCTTGCGTTGCCGCAGTATTCGCGGAGGGCACTCCACCTAAGTCTGATCGTCCCGATACTCGACACACTTGCTGTTCCAAACGTTGCTAGTGTTTCATCTTGGTTCTCGGTCTACCAGCTGTCGGGATTGGATGCACTGCGTCCTTCAGCCGTTTGTCAATCCTATACGGACCATTTCAGTTACAATGTTGTTCGGAGGTGACGCCTTTCTTCGGCTGCGGCATTTGCAACAACACCAAATCGCCTTCATGTAGCTCCTATCGGCTCGATGCGTTGCTGGACATTGCTTCCAGCTTGTCTCCGGTGATGCACCATCTCACATGGTCGTGCTTCTGCCGGTCACTGGTGGTGACTAGACCATGTCTCCTCTTGTGGGCACCCTTTTTGCCAGATCTATACCGCATCCTCTGTCCATGACACCCATGCTCCTGCCTTCGTGCTGTACTGCCTTTAGCACATCTTGCTAAATCCGGTTCCTCACACTGAAACTTGCCCATTGTTTCCGCATCTCGCTCCTTCGCCGGCGTCAACCTCATTGACCGGATATGTATAACCTCATCCTTGGCTTCCGGCTTCCGTCCTTCCTACTGGCTCGTTTTAGTTTAACGACTGATTGGAGTTGGCTTCGTCTCCTTTAGCCCTGCGTTTGCGTTCTGCTGAATTGTTGAGCCCACTGGAACTTGCGCTGCAATCACGGGAGAAGTGGCCTGGCTTTCCACATTCAAAACATTTGCCAGAGCCATTCTTTTTCTCGCCCAGCAGTTGAATAATCTTCTTCAGCATTTCATTTGTCTCGTCCGGTGTTTCCACTTCCACGCGATGTGCTTTGTAGGCTGGTCTACTTAGGAGCGCCGCCGTTTCACGCGTCTGAGCATACGAGACGGTTTCAGCAAATGTTGCCTTTGGATTCGCGTACGTCTCTCGCTTGGTATACATGTCCCGCATTCCGTTGATGAACCTATGGATTTTTACCCTTTCAAGGTGCTCACCAGATGCGTCTCCAATTGCCAAATGAGCCAGCCTTTCAATCTCATAGGCGAATTCCTGTAAAGTCTCGTTCGATTTCTGGCAGCGATTCTCCAGCTCCATCTGGTAAATCTGTCTCCTGTGCTCGCTACCATAACGTCTTTCCACTGCACCCATTAACGCATCGTAACTGTTCCTTTCACAATCAGGAATAGTCTGCAAGATTTCCGCTGCAGGTCCTTTTAATGCAACGAACAATGCAG